GGTGGGGCGGGGCGGGGGTAAGAGTAAGTCCATCCCCGCCTTCATTCCCGTACGGGTATCTCTGTATACGTCCACCGTCCAATACGTATAGTCCATCCCCGGTCCAAACGGGACGGGTTTGGACGAATACTCATTTTTCCCTGGTCCACTGCCATTCCTAGTGGTGGCAGCTATGGTGGTAGCGACAGTGGTGAAAAAGTTGGTTGTGTACCATCACTGGTGTCAATGGTGGTGTTCGAGAGGGGATAATGATGTGGTGGTGGTAGTGGTGGGGTGTGGTAGTGGTACTAGTTGATAAGGGATGGGGGTGGTGGTGGCGGTAATAATGGTGATGGCAGTGCGAGGTGTGTGAGGGTAATGGCAGGGCTTAGGCAGTGAATGTCGGCTAGTGTAGGAAGAAGCCAAAATTAGAAAATTGATAATTATCAAATTTCAGTTCTTTATACTCGGCAAATAGTTTAAACCAATTTTGTGCTTAAATTTTAGCACATACTAGATAGTTTTTATACTAAAAATTTCAACATTTAGTGCTAGACCTAAATCAGAGATGCAGGTTAACAAGGGCCAAGTCCAATGTCTTGGGAGACTTAGTCTATCACTAGTGCACATGGAGATTTCCATCTTAGGAAGAGAATGATGAAGTGTAGTCATCAGGGTGTGCATCACCAGCTTCAACCATCTTGCCCATTACGTCAGCATCACGGATTCACACCTGCTCATCTTTTGCCCACACTCGACATCTCAATTTTTCTCTTTTGTTCTTAGATGAGTATGAGAATCTCTATTTAAAAGAGAACCTTGTTGCTAAAAGAGGACCCCTACGTATCTACTGTTAAAAAAGAACCCTGTCGAAAGAGGATTCTTAGATATCTACTACTAAAAAAGATACTTGTTGCTCAAAAAGGATGAATTCTTACTGATGCCCTCCCTCCCAAATTTCATTGGACTCCAGGCATGGGGGGCAAATGACTAGCCCAACCTAGACTAGGCCTAGATTGCAAATGATGGGTCCGACCTAGACCAAGTCCAATTCAGAGATGTTGGCCAACAAGGGTCAAGCCCACCGACTTGGGAGACCTAGTTTATCACTAGCGCACATGGAGATCTCCATTTTAGGAAAGGAATCATGGAGAGCAGTCATCGGGATGCGCATCACCAACTTCAACCACCTCGCCCGTTACACCGGCATCATGGATTCACCCTGCTCTCCATTACGACGGTGATGCCTCATCAATCAAGGCTTCCTGGAATGGCGTATCAGTCAAGACTCTCTCTAAGGCGCTATGAAGTTGAACTCTCTTATAAATTTTAAGTCTCTTCTACACATAGGAGGCATCACATACATTTCAGCACACCATATCTTGAGTAATAAAACTCTTCGGTTACTGTTGCTATTCTCAATAGAATAAGTTACTTAGACCAAACCATTTAATCTGTGTCTCTTGCTGTATTAAGTATCCCCTTCACATACACCATAACACTTTTAATTAATTTTACAAACTCATTTTGTGCATCATCAATTTTCATTTTCGTCAAATAGCATCTACGTACATTAATAATGAATGCTGCATGTTTTTCCTCCAAAAATTTTACAGAACAGGACATTCTCTCATTTTCATTATACCTTGTGGTGATGTCACAATGCATACTATTACATCTGGAGAGAGAATTATTATTGCCTAAATAATTTGATCAACCAAAGAATTCAACAAAATCAACCAACACAAGTGNAGAATTATTATTGCCTAAATAATTTGATCAACCAAAGAATTCAACAAAACCAACCAACACAAGTGAGCAAATAAATTACAGTTTATTATTACAATCGAAACAAAGAATGAAGAAAAATCACAAACTCTGAAATTACAAATTGATAAAAGAATTAATTTTTGACCACCTTATGATTTTGAGTCTTATAGGAAACGTGAAAGCTTGCATTCAGCAGGAAGGCCTTGTGGAAACCTTTGTAGGTCATCGCAGTAGTAGTAAATCCTGTACTTCTGTTGTACCAATCGAAGTCTGTTAAGGTCTTTAGCATCAAGTCCTTGAGTTTGCCATGCTTGAGAGCCTAAAGTATCCTTGGACGTAGACCCACACGATGACCCAGACGAATTAGCACAACCGTTGGCATTGAAATTCATATAGGATGCTGTAAAAGGGGCTTGTGTCCAATTGGTCTTCACTCGGCCACCCTGTGTTGCCCAGTCTTCGGCGTCCCATAGGCTCGCATAACACCGCATCGTCTGGTTGTTGGGGAAGGGAACACCAACAGCTTCGTTGTTGCTGAATACTCTTATTGGAATGTTATCCACCAAGAAACTGAACAGGATGAAGGGATTTACAAATATATTAGAAAGTGCTAACACATTTAAGCAAATGATGTCTAGTCCTCCTTCTACAACTAAGGAAAACAATAAACGAAATTTTATGAGGACAATTCTCAGGTGGTGAAACTAAATTCTATTTTTCAATAAGCGAATAGTGATTGTTGTGAGCAACTCTCTTGAGAACATTCACAGTGTAGCTTAAGGTCGATATTGAACGTTATTTTATCTCTTGTTTTTTCTTCCGAAATGGAATTTCTGTCTACTCAAAAAGAGGAAAAGAGTAGCTAATACATGCTTGAAAAGAGTGTACAATACATGATACGTTGAGAGTTCCAAACGACTGTGTAGTTGTGGAAGGCTGTTGTGGGGTCAAACCAAAGACGAAACTGTTCTTCTTTGTCCCCTTTCCCTAGTGCGTAAATATTTGTGTGGAATGTGTACGGCTGCCCAGACAAGTTTCCCAAGAACTCAATATCGATCTCGTCGTGAGCTGACCCTTGAGAAGATAACTGCATGGGGAAAGATAATTTAGTTCTGAAGAAAGCATGATTATTAGAAAACAAATTAGCGTCATCATGTTTCTCCCAATTGATTGTTTGCTATAACAAAGAAGAAAGATATGCAAAATAGAGGATGTATTTGGAGTTTGACATACAAAAAATGTGGCGACAGTGCCAGCTGAGTTGCCAGGAACAAGCTTGATTCGCATGTCGAACCTTCCAAATAAGTACTCATTCTTGGTTTGAAAACCAGAACCCGAGTAATTGTCTAGAGATAGTGTGAGAAGATGGCCTCCGTTCAATATCTGGGCTCGTAGATCACCAAAGGTGATGTCGACGTCTTGAAAGAAATTGGCAGCTGAGGCTGTCGTCAACAGTAAAGTCATGCATATGGAAACTAGCAGCTTTACTGAAGCTATACAAGGGGAAAGGGATGCCATCGTTAGTTCTTATGTGTGTGCGCGTTTGAGAGAGAGACAGAGATTGTTTGTGATGGTTGATATTTGCTCGTTTGATGACTTTATATAGGTTGTAGTGTATGAGCATTGACCATGCTCTAAAGGAAGCATCTCAGAGAGAGACAGAGAGAGCCAACCGGATAACTTAAGGATGGCAAAGCTGTAGAGTTGGTACTTAAAAATTTAAGTTGTAGAGTTGGCAAAGTTATTAGTTTATTGGATAAATTATATTTTGACCCCTTAATTATCAGATTTTTCACAGTACTCCTCAACTTGAATTTCTCATGTTACTTTTAAATGTCAATGCATTGCAAAAGTCTACATTCGAGATAATATAAAATCAATAACCATAACTAGAGGTGTGACAAGAGAATTGTCATAGTTGAGGGGTAGCGTGAAATCATTAATTATAGCTCGAGATGTAACGTGAGTAAGAAAAAATGTTAGTTAAGGGGTTTAAAGTATAATTTTTCCTAATTTATGTTAAACTGAAAGTCAAAGTTTGTTTCAAAAGAAGCCTACCCTTGTTGATCCTCTTGGTATGGTTCTGCCTGGTGGAGAAATAGGTCTTACAAACCTGCAGATTGATGGGATTACTGATGGGATTACTTATCATTAAATGAATACCACCCAACAAATTCCTAGGTTTCTACTTTAGGAGTTCTGTCTTGTCTGTTGTTAATAAATTAATGTTGTTTGTTATTATTGACCATTCCTGAATGCTGCATTTCCATTTTAATATAGGGACTATTTTATTTTCTGGGCAGGTATGATTTATAGTCTACGTTGATGAACTTCCATGCAGTTTCCCTCTGCATTCTTATTTCGTGCAACAGCTGCTGCTTTGGATGATTTATCGTGACAAACCGGATTGTGGTTTGCTGTCTGTATAGGTGTCAATTGGTTACTGCCTGTGTTTGTCTTTGTGTTTGTGTTTGTGTTTGGTTTGGATTAAACATGAAAAGTCATTGGACAATAGAAGGAGGCTAAGCGTGTGTTTTATTAACTCAAATTTAACCCAAATTCAACATGAATGTGTTCCGTATTTATTAATTAAGTTTTGTTTGATAATTAAAATTTAAATATCTTAATATATTAAATACTTCTTAAAAATATGTTACAATATTAAGTAAGAGATCTTTTTCTTAATTTTCAAAATTGAAAGTGCTTAGTAAAAACATCTTTAATTATTTTTACAATATAATAATTTCACCTTGAAATATTTCAATATTCTATTAAAACTCGAATTAGTCTTTTTTTCAAAACTTTTAATCTATATATCATTTTCACCATTTTCTTCCCATCGTCTTCTCCCCCAACCTTTATTTATTTATTTTTTTTTGTTGATAGTAAGTCTTCTTCCCTCGTCTTCTGCAACACACACACATAATTATACATACAAACTTTGCACACACATACACATATAATTACACACACATACATACAGTTACACACACTGCACACACACACCCACACACACATTAAAATCTAAATGTTTTAATTTGTTTTATTTTTTTTGTTCAAATTAAAATCTACACACTTACATGCATTGCACACATACCCACACACATTAAAATCTAATTTGTTCTATTTTTTTTTTGTTCACATTAAAATCTTATTTTTTCAAATTAAACTGATTTGATATATCATAGTTTTTTATTAGATAAAAGAATATGTTATAAATATTTTTAAAGTAAAGAGTGGAACGGTAAAATTTAAAATTAATTGATTTTCAAACTTTAACTCTGTAGAGTTATCAAACAGTTTGTTTCAATTCAATATTTAAATTTCAGTGGATATCAAATAGTCTACAAATTTAAAATTCAATTTTTAAACTTCAACTTTCAATTTTCAGATTTCAACTTTCAGTTTTATCAAACACCATTGTGCCGCCACCACTACCATTATGTCGTCGCCACCTTCGCCATTGTATCGTCGCCACCAACACAACCACCGCCACTGTTGTGGCTGCCAATACCATGACCATTGTGTCGTCACAACGACCACCATCGCTGCCACCACCATCATTATACCACCGCCACCACCACAACCATCACCACCATAATTGTCATCGCCGCCACTACCACCATTAATGTTGGTGGTACGAACAAGGTAGTTGTGGTGAGATGATTTAAAAAGAAATTAAAAAATTAAGCATTTAACTTTCAATTTTATCAAACACCACCTAACATTTTATCATACTGGTCTTTTTAGAGTAATGTTATTTGGATCTACAAATAAGATCTAATGACGCGACAATGACATGATATAATAACATTATTATAATTGCAACTATTGAATTTTTTTATTGAGATTTTATTAATTGATATTTATTATGTAAGCAAATTATGACCACTTTTTAGGTCCCAATATCATTATTCATTCTATTTATTCTGTGGTTCCAGATGTGGATAAGATATAGATAAATTGTTTTAATACGGATTCTATATCTGGATTCAAGATTCTATGTCTTGGATTTTCCCTCTGTTTTTCTAATTTCAAATATGAAGGTAGTAACAAAACCCTGACCAAAGAAGTATGTCTAATGGTTCCTTATATTTTTTACAATAACAAAAAGTTTCATTACAAGTTTTACTTACAATATCAAAATTTAAAACTATTGTGCGTATGATATGTTATAATGAAGCATGAGAATAGAATAACTAATAGTAAGTGTGGGGAAATATCTATCACAATTAACTCTTCTGAGAAAGATATGACAATTTAAGTGAGAATCCCTTTTATCATTAACAACCCTAAACACTGATGTACATTAGTGTATTGATTTTATTCATTAATCGATTAACACTCAATCTTTTTGTGTTACATAGATTCAAATTATTAATTCATCAAATTTATAGTGCACGAGTGTGCAACATTACAAGTGTGCAAACAAATTAAAGTATTCAAGAACACAAGAAATTTGTTAACGCGAAAATCCTTCACGAGAAAAATTATAGGAAACCTTCTCAGTTCACCAAAATCTAATCCACTAAACCCAAAGTCAATCTACATCGGGACTTGTACCTCAACCAATCCACAATACTAGATGCTCTTTTTTTTTCATAGATCTCTCCGCTGAAAATCCCTCTTTGACTTTATGGCTAGCTTCACATAACTTTTGCTGATGGGAGAGGATTTAGATGGGCATGGGTTCAACCACACATGTGTGCGCGTGCTGCTACTCGCCCAGACTCCATTTGGGTTAGGTTGGGGTTCGGTGATGGGTTAAATATATCTTTTTGGGTAATTTTCACGTTAGAATTTGAATTTTGCACTGATTACGATTTGAACTTCATGTTAGTCCAATTTTTAATTTTGGGTTTGTTCATGAATAGGCACCTTTGGTGCCTTCTGGTTCCATCTAATCACTTGCAAATTTTTGTCATTAACAATATTCATTACATTCGTAGTTCATTATTCGAGTGTTCATATAAAAGAGTAAAAACACCGCTTTTGTTTCATCAGGCATACAGATTGTAGTGCTTTTTCTATATGATTTTTAATCCTTGTATCGTAGGACACAAATGCTCAAGAGATCCATAAGTACTAGTATGAGAACGATGTATGTCTTAACTCTTAAGAATATAGCAACAATTACTAGCCTTAGTCAAAATCCGTTCATGATATGCAATGGGGTCAGTTTGTCGTTATTTTTTTACAACATTATTTGTTTAACTTTGCAGAAAACATAATAAGTCGCTGTTATATGTTCACATATTCTCGACATTTATAAGTGGGTCTTTCATCCGTATACAAAAAAATATTTATCAATGAGTGAAATTGAGTGAAAATGTAATAAATATGGATCCAATAAATATGGACTCTCCTTCCTTTATAGCTTGGTGGCTATGTCTAAGATCATTGGGGGTCATAATCGACAGAATCAAACACACTTCTGGTTTAAATGAAGGGTGACTTCTTCTAGATTAAACTAAGAAAGGCCTGTAGTTTCATTCACCAAAACTAGCTTAAACTAAGAAAATCTGTCTTGTTCAACATACAAATTTCCAAGGCTAGCTTATTCATCTTCCATAAGAAAATCACAAAATAGCTAAGCAAGATCATGATATCCTTTGTGCAAAGAATGACAAAGATTAGATCTATATCCAACAAATGCATCTCAAATCCTCATTAATGAAGGACTAGATTGGGTGTTATTTTATTATAAGTAATCTTATTTGAACTTAAAAATTTGATCTAATTTGCTGACATAATGATGTGGTTCAATAGAACCATTGGATCAACACCAAATTTCTATATTTGATGGAGTCTATAGTCAATCTAAATATCATAGAAAATTAGATCAACAAATTAGGTCTCCATAACTCAAACACATTGATTACAAGATAGCACGGGATGAGGTTGCTTGTCCTCAGACTAATAGGGTCTTTGGCTGAGAAAAGTTTTGGAATGGAAGCAAGTTCTTCTGTAAAAAGGTGGAACAAAGTTATTTTGCTAATAGCAATACTATAAGAATTTAATTTGAAAATCTAATTTAAAGACCTAATTCATTGCAACTATTAAATTACTTGAGCATTAAAGTATTAGATGAAGTTTATTTTCAATTCAATGACCATATTTGATGAGGTTCCTAAATAAGGTAGAAATAACATTTTTTTTTTGTTAGATAAGAAACTTCGAGTTTTAGATCATGTTCACTAGGAGTTGCGTCATGGAAGAATCTACTTGCCCATATAGAAAGCACGACTACCAATGTTCTTGAATTAAGAATATGTGAAATTAATGGAGAATGCAGTAGATGCATTGACATGTTTAGATCAGATGATTTTGCCTTGGGTTACATTTTGGGACAACGAGCAGCAACTTTGACAAGCCAAAGAATTGAATAATAGGAACAGGCATCTAGGAATGAATAAATAAATAAAAAATATATTTATTTTGATTGTTAAAATGAATAATGAATACTCATGAATAAACTTGTAATTACAAGTAAAGAGAGGAAACAATCTGGAGTCGTAGAGGAGCCTCTAACGCTTGCATTCGACGGGGAGCCCTTGAGGAAACCTTTTCACATCAGTACAGTAGTTATAAATCCTATATTTCTGTTGCACCCATCGAAGTCTATTTCTGCCCTTAGCATCAAGTTCTTGAGTTTGCCATGCTTGGGTGGTTAAAGAATTAGAAGAAGAACCACAAGTTGAAGCTGATGATCCAGATGCCGACTGAAAACAAGCATTGGCATTAAAATTCTTGTAGTATGCTATGAAAGGAGCTTGTGTCCAATTGGTCTTCACCCGTCCACCTTGCGTTGCCCAATCGTCCGCATTCCATAGGCTGCCGTAGACCCTCATGGGTTGGTTGTTGGGGAAGGGAACACCAATGGCTTCATTGTTGTTGAATACTCTTAGTGGAATGTTGTCCACCAAGAATCTGAAATGCACACCCAACACAAGCCCAAAACGTTAGTTTTTGAGGCTGAAAAGGATTACTAATTTTATACATAATTGGAAAAAAAAAAAAGGAGGCTTGGGAATTCCTCAATGAAATTAATGGAAAATGTTCATTACATGATGCGTTGAGGGTTCCAAACGATTGTGTAGGTGTGGAAAGCCATTGTTGGGTCGAACCACATATAAAACTGTTCTTCTTTGTCCCCTTTGCCTTTGGCGTAAACATTTGTGTGGACAATATAAGGCTGCCCAGACACGTTGCCCAAGAACTCAAAGTCGATCTCATCGTGCGCCGAGCCTGCTGAAGACAACTGTATCGGAAGATAAAAGTCAATAACGTAAACTATGCATTTATACAACAAGTAGGAATAAAATTGTAAGGAGATGTGGATTAAAGATTGAGACTTACAAAGAAAGTGGCGACAGTGCCAGCAGAGTTGCCAGATACAAGCTTGATTTTCATGTCAAACCTTCCAAATAGGTAATCGTTCTTAGATTGGAAACCAGAACCGGAATAGTTGTCAAGAGAAAGTGTGAGAAGTTGGCCGCCCTCAAGTATCTTACCCCGTTGATCTCCCCAAGGGATGTCAACATCTTGGTAAAAATTGTCAGCTGAGACTGCAAGTACAGCGGTCATGAGGATGGACAATAGAAGCACTGATGAAGCTCTACAAGAGGAAAAGGAAGCCATTTTTCCGTGCACAGAGAGAGAGAGAGAGAGAGAGAGAGAGCTGTTGTGTTGTGTCTTTTTTGAGATTGGCTTGTGAGGCCTTATATAGGCAGGTGGGTGTTGACCTTACTCTAAAGGAAGTGGGAAAGAAGGAGGGGGAGAGAGAGAGAGACAACTAGATAGTGGATAAATCCCTGAGATGTAGAGCTGGCAAACTTAGTTTATGGGAAAAAAGTGGAGAGGGAAGCCAAAAAAGATTACGCGTAGAAGTCTGGTTTTTGAATTGAAAGAAGACTCCCCTATGTGGCACCTAACTGGTTACAACGTCCATTTGGAAATGGATACAGCTTTCAAACAGAGTAGCAATGACCCACGTCAGATATCCTAATTTGAATCTTTTGTTTCGTATTCTATAATTCATGGTCCATGGTCCAAGGCATAGTACAATTTAAAAAATTAAGCACTAATCATGGATACGTATTAAGTCGAAAGTCTATACTCATTTTTGACCCATTCGTGCCTTACATACATGCTCCACAAAGTGATTGAATTTAAATGTTAATTTGATGAATTAATTGTTTGTTAGATGAAATTGAATGTTAATCTGATTAATTTTGTGTCAATTTTATTAATTAAATATTAATTTGGACAAAATTACATGTTACTTTAGTATTGATTTGATAAATTAAATCTTTATTGAATAATTTTTTAAGTACATTTATTTAATTTAGTGTTAATTGGATGAATTTGAATATCAATTGGATGCATTGAATGTTAATTATTATGAATTTAATATTTATTAGATGAATTGAATATTTATATTGGATTGAGTTGAATGTTTATTTGTTGAATTTAATATTAATTTTGTGTTGATTTGATGAATTAAATATTTATTGGATAAAGTTGCATGTTAATTTGATGTTGATTTAATAAATTGAATGTTTATTGGATCTTCTAAATACAAATTGAATATTTTAGAGGTCAAATTAAAAAAATTGATATTTTAGAGATCAAACTTACAAAACATGAATAGGATAAAAGTGTTTTTAAAAAGCATATGGGTTTCTATTGGATCGATCATGATTTGTCATGGCCAATCATAATTTGAATATAAAATCACGACCGATAATTATAAATTAGGATCCGTAAAGATAAATTAGGACCACTTAGTTATAATTCACGGTCCTAATTTAAGGTAAAGGGCAAATTTTAGTTATACTCTTTTTAGGTTATCATATCTTCAAAAATATCCCCTCTATTTTTGGGATCGTCACTAATATTACATGTCTATTAATGGTATTAACTATAATGTAATTTTATTAAATTGTCAATGATATATTTTTGGAAAAATTTCATTCACACCCTCTAGATAGACATATCTGTCTGTTTTCTAAAATTTTTTACATAAATTCGGATCAATTGAAATTCTATTCAAACTAATTAAAATTTATTTTGTATGTATTAAATTCAAGTTGATTAGAAATAATATTTTTATACATATTAAAATTTGAGTTGGTTAAAATTCGATTCGAATTGCTTAAACTTTTAAATCGACTTAAATCAAATTCTAATCAAATGATATTGAATTTTAATCGCCCCGAATTTTGATACATAAAAATATAAATTTTAATACGTAAAAAAAAATTAATCAACTAGAATTAAATTTTTATTGACACAAGTTTCAATAAAAAAATACAAATTTTAATTGATTCAAATCAAATTGTAATCGGTGTTAACAACTCAAGTGGAGCTCAAATTGGCTTAAATTTTAATATGTAAAAAAATAAATTTTAATTAGTTCAAATTTTAATATAATTTTATGTAAAAAGATTATTTGAGATTTATGTGGAGACAATTTTAGTATTTTAGATGAATTTTTTTTTTTTTTTGGTTAGAAATGGTGATTTAATGGCGGAGATGTCAATAATGTTTAAATATAAACTAGAATGGGGGTGTCAATAATGTTTTAGATAATAGAGGGAATGTCCTTGAAAATATGATAAATTAAAACGGGTGTAGCTAAAATTTTTCCTAAAATAAATCACTACAACCGGTCTTAGCTTAGGTCAAGATCGGTCTTACCTCAAATGAGGATTGGTCCTAGTTTGTCATGACCAGTCTTACCATTTTTTAGGGTAGGTTACAATTATTTGAGGGATAAGCTATCACCTTTGGAGGGTAAATACAACTTTTTTGGGGGTAAGTTATCACTTCTGAGAGTAAGTTATCATTTTTAAGGATAAATTACCACTTTTGTGGGGTAAATTACTATTGTTTGAGGATAAGGTACCATTTTTTGGGAGTAAGTTATAACTTTTGTGAGGGTAAGGTACAACTATTTGGGGGGGGAGGTAAAATACCATTTTTTTTGGAGGTAAATTTCAACTGTTTGGAAGTAAGATATCACTTTTTTAGATGTAAAATACCATTTTTTAGAAATAAAGTACCACTTTTTTGAGGTAAGTTATAACTGTTTGAGTGTAAGTTATCATTTTTGTGGGATAAGGTACCACTTTTAAAAGGTAAGTTACTACTTTTTGAGGGTAAAACATAACTATTTGAGAATAAATTATCACTTTTTTTATGATAAGATAGTACTTTTTTGGAGAAAAATATCATTATTTAAGACTAAATTATAACTGTTTGGAATAAAGTGTCAATTTTTTTGGGGTAAGATACCACTTTTGAAGAAAAAGTTATCATTTTAAAGAGGTAAAATGTCACTATTTTTGGAAATAAGGTACCACGTTTTAAAGAAAATCGGTGAAACCAATCGTGAATTTTTTATGCACAAATATCAACTGTTTAATTCCTTTACTTTTTGATACAATACCGAAAAAGGAAAAAGGCAGTACAAGAAATGCTTGATTGACAAAAAAACGAAAGGGTGTCAGGTAGTCCAAGACGTAAATCCTGACACTGCCACCATCTTAACGAATTTATTAACTTGAGTTCGCGAATTGAACAAAGGCAAAGCATTTTGGGACAATTTCGCTCCAGAAGCGTCAGTTTGTTCCGCACATTAGAGCGCTGATATACAAGTTGTACATTAAGAGAATAATTTTTTCCTTTGAGAATAATCAAAAAAACATAAAAAGTGTTCAATTGAAGCACGAGAACACATTTTAGGAGTATTAAATACCATTATATGAATTGCAAATGCACGTGATAGATCAAAAAATTTGAGATTATTAATGAAATAGGTAACAAAATCACTTTGCCACCCCTTAAGGGGAAGGGAAAAAAAAAGAAATCACAACAAATCAAAAAATAAGTTTAAAAATCATAAAAAAAAAAACAAAGAAATAACTGTCTAAGGGGAACAATTTGGGATTATGGTTCTAATTTGGAATCACATGAATAATGGGTTGATTTAAGTTGAATTACAATTTGAAGTCAAGAATTTGGACTATAGGAATTACAAATCCATTTCATTTCGAATCATGCAACCCGATTCATATCTATGATCCAGCATATATGGTTGTGACCTAAACTTTATGAATTTGAGTAAAAAAAAAAATGGTCTTTCCACAAGGAGTTGGACTACATACAGAGTGACAAGAGTCTCATACTCAAAGCTGTCATTTTTTTTAAATTTCTCGACGCAGATGTACCAGTGTTTCGGAGAACAATTTTCAACACACGGGATAAGAGGATGACCACTTTAGAATTTTCATCACCCAAGTGCCCACTGAGCAAATGACATGCAAAATTGTGTTAAGACCATTCCCCTGGCTTATCCCAAACTAAATTTGTAGATTGTGGTCCAAATAACTATAAATCATGATCCCATAGAGAAAAGCACATGTAGGCTTACGTAAAGTATAACATATAATCATTGAATTGTTACTGTACTAATAACGTGTGGAGCTAGATCCATGATCCTAAATCTATTGTGTATTGCATGCTACCTTCGTCTACTTTCTAGTTATGGACAAGGTATCATAATGCCATATTGTACAGAGCTAAGTGTGAGCAGAGACTGAAGGCAAAACCTTCTTCCCTCTGTCTCAAACTATGCCTCTGCGTTTGGTTTCAGAACGAATACGTCCCGAGTGAGAGAAAGTTGTCCTCCTCGTCACCCTATTATTCTACATTTTCTAATAAGTTCATTTGAGAAATTCACATGTTGATTCCACAAGCTTCGTACCTCAGGGATCCCAATCTCAAGCCACGGTTTTGCGGGTCCACTGAAATGGATAACAGATGCAGCTTCCAATACCTGTTGGGAAACTTGTGGAAATCGATGGCCTAACCCAGCAACATGCCACGATGGATCAATGGTATGCACGTGACCCTCGAACGCTAGCAAGGCAGGTGGAAGTGCTCCAGGATGCCATAATGTCAATCCAGAATTGAGGTTCTGCAAAATAAAATCAGAGTTACCAAAACAAAGAATGCTAGTTATATTTTCATATCTAAAATTAGAACGATAATCATGACACAATCCGGAATCATGCAGTGATCTCAATGACAGGATTATCAAACTAAAAACACTTGTAGAATAGGACAGAATTAAGTATCTCTAAATCAATAATCATTGAACTGACCCTCTATTCTTGGCCCCTATTCGAATTACTGAAATTTCTTGTATATTGTAGGTTGTTACGTTCTGTCAGTTCAATTTTCCAATATTCCAGTTTCATTCTAAAATAAANTAAGTATCTCTAAATCAATAATCATTGAACTGACCCTCTATTCTTGGCCCCTATTCAAATTACTGAAATTTCTTGTATATTGTAGGTTGTTACGTTCTGTCAGTTCAATTTTCCAATATTCCAGTTTCATTCTAAAATAAATTAAGCAACTCAATACTTCTCAGCATGTAATTACATGAATAATGTCTTGTTCTGTAGTTTGAGGCATTAACTAATCACTCACATTAAAACAATTGAGCAAAAAATACTCACAAGTTTAAGCCATCGATGATAGTTTGCAGTGATATTGGTCTTCCTCCATGTTTGGAGATCAAAAACATTCATCCCATATAACCACCCACACTGATCACGATCCAAGTTTGAAGATATAATTGGCTCTGTAAAGTTGAAATAGTCCTTGTATTTTCTACCGTGGCAACAGGCATGACCGCACCATGAGTCAACAACCGCACCGACAACTTTCCCATTGAGATCCAATTCCCATAGAGATGATAAGTCGTGTTGCACTATAATATCATCGTCTAGGAACACAATCTTGTTCAAATCTGGAAACAGCTGTGCGCCCATGAAAATCAGATAATAGATCAATCTTAACCGAATATCCCACATTCAAGGTCATCCGTAAAGATGCATACGAGTACTATGAAACAATTGAATAGTTACCTCCGGGATGTATATGCGCAGATGATTCAAAAGGGAAACACAGCTGAGGTTTAGAATCTCTAAGTTCCTTTCATGCTCTTCCTTATATTCAATGTCCTTCAAATTGTCATATTTATGGCTCCAGATCAGGTGATGAATCTCTTGCATATCCTGAATTCCAACATTCACCTCATGAGGCCAATCATATTGATGCAATCCTTTGACTTCCACGACTGCTGAATTTACGGAGTTTATTGCAAACCATGCATGCATTGAAGTATAGGTTTTCTTATCAGTCACTACATGGAACACCAATTTCTCTGGCTTGACTGAGCTCTTGATGGTAGATGAGATGGCGACCGAGGCAGCAAGGACATTGTCAGTTAGAAGAACGATGTGATCGAATGAAGGATCAGTGAGATGAGAAACAAATTCAGGTGGAGGTAAATGAGAACGTGCCATGGCATTCACAGCATACTCTTCGGCCAGTTTGAGGCAAAGACAATGTAAACTCTTTGGGACACCATGTGAAGCTAAATGCCAATAGATCGACTCATGCCGCCTAGCTGATTGGACCTTGCGCTCCATCTTCAGCATCTGCATAAAGCAAGGAACTTCAATATGTTTCGCATGAGGATCAGGAGATAATAGTTGATGACTGTATGACAATGACATTTGCAAATAGGTTGTTACAAGGAACTTGTTGGTTTATGATATCACCACTCCAACCAGCAGGGGCGAAGCCAGATATCTAGTATGTTGGGGCCAATGGAGATTTTTAAAAACTTGCATTTTAGTATCAAGGGCGCATGTTGAAATAGTCATTACGTTAAAGTGCAGGCTTGAAAAGATTTATAAAATAATCCTCAGTTATAAGGCCAAAAAACAATTGTTTACATCATTAATGTAGCCTCACGCAGGCTAAACAGTGATTTCATTTTAACAACATAAAGCAGTACCACTATATTTTCAAGAATGGGCATGAAATTGCTTGACTATACATATGCAGGCTATCATAAGAGCTTTATCTTAAGACACGACACAGCAGAAATTAGATATCATACAATTACAAAATCCTGGAACATCAAATTGACCATGAAATCTATAACTGCATTTCTTTTATTCTTGAAAAAAAAAACCACAATCCACGAATTGATCCTCCTAAAAGGAGAGAAGGGCCGAAGTTCAACGAAGGCCTAGTTAATAGATCACACCTTCGGAAGTCCTTATAGTTCCCTAGATCCACTAGTAATCTGTTGCACCACTTCCCCAGTCGGTGAACTAAATCTCTAAAATTTGAGATTGCTTCTCACAATTAGCTAGTGAAATAAATGCTTAAAATTTAAAAATAGCAAAAGCAGTTAGATCTTCTGATGACAGAATAAGTTTTACAAACCAAATCTCCTTTTGGTCAGCTACAACCATAAAAATGATTGCTTAAAAGGCTGAAAACCAAATCAATGAACCTTATGCCTTATAACCAGCTGAAGGTTTTTTTTTTTTCCAAAACTTGCATTTCACAGGCATTGATGTCTCATTTCTAGGTTTGGTTTGAAAAAATTAAGTACAACAATTATATAAATATGTCACCATGCCATAGATGAGGAGGTAACTGCATTGGGAAGTTCACAATTCCCATCCCTGTCCCACACTCATTAACTTGGAAAAAGTTAAGTTGAACTCTTTGCCTACAATGAACAAATTAGCCTTTGGGTCAAAAATTAGTTAGAACTTGGCAACCACTCAAAATAATTTAGAGTCCTATCTATCTCCCCAAGTTATAAAGTTAACTATTACTAAATATTTCACCTGACTTTCAACTAGTGCTGTTGTGACTAGTTTCATGATAATAAGACCTTATCAAGAATTTGAGTTGAAAACCTCAACCTTTCTTGTGACAGTTAAGATGCCAAAATCGCCAACATTGTGCAGCCCAAGTCAGCAACAACTTTAGAGCCTAAATAAGGCTCAAGTGCCTGTTCATCCATCTTCATTCCAAAGGCAAACATCTCCATTGACAGGCTGTAAGTGCTATGGTTTTAAGTCAATAATTCTTAACCAACCCTTTCTTATTATGTCTCTAGTGACAACAACAGGATCCCTTGGTTGTTGAAGAACCCGAGCTTATCAATGGAATAATTGAGCGTTACGAGTACATGGGAGTTATGGACAGACAAAATCTCCTATAAACATGTCCTTAACAGGATGGCACTGACTTTCATCATATGGGGAACACAGGGACGCAAGAACCAATGACTGAACCCACAAAGACGGTTTGTAAATAACAAGTGCTTCCACAGAACAACCTTTAACTAACTGGTTTTGACTTGTCGTCTACTTTCAGGAACTAAGGAGCAGAGAGCATGTGTTCTTTTTTATTTGCCATGCTTCTTGCCAGTGCAGTAAGTCTTGTTTCCTTCTCCCCAAGCAAATGCACGCGTCTGGTGCATGCATGACTAACTATATAAAGTATCAATCCCATGAATGACACTCGTAATAGGACTAAGTTTAGTTCATAAAAATGTAAAAAATATAATTGTAATTCATGTGCTCAGTCGGTTTAGACTAGTTCTCTCAGGAATATTACAGAAACACTTGATGGTTAAGAAAACTCCAGCTGGAAAAAAGCTGGAGCCAGGTAGCCGGAAGTTTCTTGAAGTTCATGGAGTGAGGCGGCATGGAGCATTGAAATTTTATTGGTGGAATGATGACAACCGGGAGTGCTTGATGACGAAGTTCTCTACTCCTATTGATTGAGTGACATGTGCCAAAATTGCAGATTCACTATGGAGGCAAATTTGCCTATAAAAAGGCATCCTTTGTATCAGTTAATGCTAATGAGAGTGTGAGAGATATATATGCACTAGAGAGAGATCAGGCAGAGAGCATCTATGAGAGTCTTGAGCATGTGTAATCATCACCCTTTTAATGCAATTGCATTTACATTCCCTTCCTAAATTATAATAGCCTATTTATATTCAATTGTTTCCCTTTATTAGATCTTGCACCCCAACAACTGTAGTATCAGAGCCAAGGTTCCAAATCCCCTCAAAAGCCTTTCCAAATAATCCTCTACAATGCACCAAAAAAAACAAAAAAAAATAATCCTCTATAATGGAAGCTAACATTTCCATGTTCAATTATGCATAAGCCCTTATCCCTATTGTTGAGGGTGAAAATTATGAGTATTTGAGCTTCCAATTGAAGACTTTATTTATCTCAAGACTTGTGGGAAATAATTGAAACTAGATTCGAAGCATCAGCAAATGACGAAGAATTATGAAGTTGGCAAGAAGAAAGCCAAAAGAAGTACAAAAAGAATAAAAAGAAAGATGCAGATTTACTACTCAACATATAACGAGGGGTTAACAAAACTATTTTTCCAAGAATTTTGGCCCCAAAAACTTCAAAGTAAGCATGGGGAGATCGAGTATCAAGGATTTGATAAGGTAATAATCTTTATCAAACTTCAAACTCTGGTGAGATTTTGATTATTTAGCAGTGAAGGAAAATGAATCTATTCAAGAATTCTTTTCTCGAGTTGCTGGAATTGTCAATCAAATTCAGAATTATGGAGATACCCTTATAAAAACATTGTTGAAAAAGTCTTAAGAAAGCCTACCTTCAAGGTTTGAGCATATTGTTAGTGCAATCAAAGAAGCGAAAGATTTGTCAAATCTAACTCGAAATAAATTAATGAATTCTCTGGAGGCACACGAGAAAAGGATGAGCAAATTTACAAACCAGTCTTTGGAACAAACATTTCAGTCCAAAGTCAATATCAAAGAATCAAACAACTCAAAAAAGAAGCAAGAAAAGCAAGGAAGGGGCAAATATCACAAAAGGAAACCAATATCAAGCCTAAGGCAAAGAAAAAGGCTGCACCAAACAAATAAATTTTGACGGTAATTTTGTTTCTCGATTCATTTTTTTGCAAAAGACTCAACCATAGTGCCATAGATTGCAGATTCAGATATAAGAACTAAAAAGTATCACATCATTCTCAACAAGATTGCTGATTCAACCGTAACAAGGCAAATTTTTTGAAAGTAAAAGGAGATACCATGCTCTCTTGTATGAATATCCATTAAGAATCAAAAAACACTTGGTATTTGGATTGCGGATGCAACAACCATATGACGGAGAATCGAAAGATCTTTATGAAGCTTGATGAAAAAGTTTCCTCACAAGTAAAGCTTGGCACTGAAAAACTGCAAAAGTCGAAGGCAAAGGAGAACTACAACTTGATTTTATCAACACAAAGGAGCAGCTTATGAAAATTACAGAAGCCAAAGCCACAGAAATTTCTTGAATTTCAGCAGCTTATGAAAATTAGAAATTAAGAGGGGTGTGTTAAAAAGATAATTTGTAATTCATGAGCTAAGTCGGTTTAGACTTGTAATCTTTTTAATATTACAGAAACACTTCACAGTTAAGAAAACTCCAGCTGGAACAAAACTGGAGCCAGGTAGCCAGAAGTTCCTTGAGGCTCATGCAGTGAGGCGGCATGGAGCATTGAAATTCTATTGGTGGACTGATTACAACCGGTAGTGCTTAATGACGAAGTTCTCTACTCCTATTGGTTAATTGATATGTTAGTGGCGGTAAAGAAGCTTCAACGAAGCTTGCTCACTGTTGCGGCAAATTTGCCAATAAAAAGGCATCCTTTGTATCAGTTAATGCTGATGAGAGTGTGAGAGATATATATGTACTAGAGAGAGATCAGGCAGAGAGCATTTGTGAGAGTCTTGAGCACGTGTAATCATTATACTTATAATACAATTCCATTTGCATCCCCTTCCAACATTACAATAGCCTATTTATATTCCATTGTTCTCCTTTATGACATCTTGCACCCCAACGAAAAAATGGTTAGTGGTATGTCTTATGGTGACAATAGTTCTAAATATATTAGGGGAACACATTGTAGTTTCATTTGACCATGGCAAGGAGATATATCTTTTCATTTTTTTACGACAGGCAGTGACCTATATTGAGTTTACTGTCAAGTATATTCCAAAAAACGTTCTTGAATCTCTTTAGGTGGCTCATTCATCTCAAATCTTCAGACGACTGTACCACTGGATGACCTCCTAGGGTCAGTTGGAAGTTGAAACACTTTTTTATTTCTTATAAGTCTCTGCACAAGATTCTTCACCATAACTATTGTGTCTTGAAAGACAAAAGATCTCTTAAATCAGTTTGTATAAGCCATGATGATCAAATTTAATCAGTTTGTATAAGCCATGATTCTTTTTAATCAGTTTGTATAAGCCAGATGATCAAATTTAAGATTGCAATCACCTACCTGAACACATTCCTCCTATTCTACTTGGGATGGCTGTTTGGGGTTATATTTCTTCTTCTTGCTAGTGTGTATTTCTTCACAAATAGTAGATAATAATGCAAAATCATATAAGATTACCCAGTCAATGTATAGCTCATGTATTGCTCATCAATTGCACCTCAATAAATCATAAGAATGTTTTTATGACTTTCAATATGTAACTCTCCACCAACTATGGCATAACAATGAATTTGCATTTGTCCCTGAAATGTTGACACAAAAGCATGCTTAGGAGACCAACCAACAAGTTGTTGCTAATGAAGCTCCTCTAATGAGAATGAAAAGAATTTTTAGGATTTTTAAGCAGCAGTCATTGAGTCATGGGGTT